AATCTTTGAATCCAATTGGACTCTTCTGATTGAGTTCCCCTCCACAGTGGGATTCTTCATCTTTCAATCTTAGCTATCCAAAAATCAAATAAAAAAATACTAGATAATTAGAAAAGATAAATCAAAAATATCATAGGATAAATAAAAATAAAAATAAAAAAATATATATCAGATATATAATTAGATAAATAAAAATACGAAAATGAATAAAATATATATACATATTAGTAATAATACATAAATAATAAAATACATAGGATATTAACAGAAAAAAGTAAATAAATAAATATATACATATATTAATACATACATAAAATACAAAAGAAGAAGAAGAAAAAATAATAATAATAATAATACAAGATAAAATTGAATAGGCCCAATTGATCTGGGCTTACCCATTTGGGCCAGGCCCAATTGATCTGGGCCTGAACCCAATTGGGTGTCTACAGATGGTGCTGGTAGGGGCTAGCAAAAGCTTAGGTGATGTACCAATGGAACTATGGGTGAAGGGATGCTTAATGGGTGTTAGAAGGTGCTCTATGGTGTAATGGTAGTGGAAATTTTGGTGGTGAGGATGGCCAAAGATGGTTTGTGGGTGAGCATGATCAGAGAAATGGTATGGCTAGAATGGCTAGAGTATCTAGGATTTTTTTTTTTTTAGTCTGTTTTCCTTCTATAAATCCTTCATTCCCCGAATCTCCCTTTTCACTTTCATGTTATAAAGTAGCTACTTAGGGAAAAAAAGCTTGTTGATTTTTTGATATTAGGCTAAACAAGATGGTTGTAGTAGCTTATTAGACAGAGAAACTTACTGATTTTTAGACATTAGGTCAATCACCAATTGATGATAGAAGCCTGTGATTCAAAAGAGAGGGAAAAATACTAAGCCTAAAATGGTAAAACAATTTGGGAAAAAGAGAAAGGCATATAGGGAGAAAGAAAAGGCATATGGGAAGAAGGAAAAGCATGGTAGTTGATTTGAGACTTTTTTATTTTTTTATTTTTATTTTTTATTAACTTAATTAATTAAATTAATTAATTTTAATAAAAATAAAATTAGGCGTTTCTTTAAAGAAAAGTTGAATTTGGATTCATTATATTTTAGGTCTTCAAGCCCAAATAATTAAACTTTGAATTAACTAAATTGAATTGGGTTGGATCTTAACATATTCAAAATATACCTCAAAATAATAAAGTCCAAATGAGCCCAACAAAATATATCCAATGAAAGTGTTCAAATAGGCCCAAATTTAAGTGTTCGAATTAAGTATAAAAATTAAACAAACTTGAATCAATTCAAGCAAAATTAGGTACCTACACTCATAACATCTCGATATAGGATTGGAGTGTCAGAAACTCCCTTGGTTAAAACTTGATATCCCTATCAAATTCAATACAAAACACACAGAATTATAAAATCGTAGAACCAGGATCACACCAAATATTAAGAATCTAGAGGTGGCTCTCACGATATAGTATTTAGCTCATGTCTTACCGGTAATGTCTTTGATACCATTTGCAGATATCCATATCCAACTTAAGAATTATTGTTAGTTTTGATCCAAAAGTTTCATAGTTTTATCCCACAAAAAATACTTTATAAGTTTGTATTTGAATCTCAATATATATATATATATATCATATCATATTTTCACATTCTTCTAATGTGAGATTACAAACGTCATAACTCCAAAGATTATAGGCTTTGAAAATTCTTGCTAAGCCAAAGTAAAAAATTTTAGGGTTCAAGTCACTATCTAGCAAAATATTACTAGCTTTAAGATCTCTATGAATAATATGAAGCTTAGAATTTTGGTGAAGATCCTCTCTCAATCATTGAGCTTGAGAACTCAAAACAATGGTAGAAATTAGATATATTTGGAAATAAAAAAAAATATATGGGTAAGAAAATATATAAGTTTTAATATTATATTAAAAGAAAAATCATGCATGGATTTTAAAATGAGGACCTATGATCCTTTAGGATTACTTCATTCTAAATGAATCATTCCATTTCCTATTAAAACATTGAATATAACATTGTAGGAATTACAATGCAAAACTCATGTCTATTGTCCATTCATGGGTACCTTTTTCATAAAATGGGTCCAATTTATTAATAGAAAAAAGAATTATACGTGTTAAGGATAATATTCAAATAAGATCTCGAATTTTACTAAAAAACAAAAAAAAATAAGTCCATGAATTTTTTATTATATGAAATTAAGATTATAAACTTTTATTTTATTATAAATAGACCCTTGGTAGTATAAAATATTAAATTTTTTAGTTTAATGATTTAATTTGTGAAAAAATATTTGCTTAAATTTATTTGGATCAACTGAATGACAAATATTTGAGATAATGCTATTCTAAAAATTATGTCAATTGGATACTATTCATCCATTGTTGAGATTTAATGGATATAATTATAATGAAATAAAAGTTTACACCCTCAATTTCATGCAACAAGAAGTTAAAGGTTTGTGTGCATTTTAGAATAAAATTTGAGAGTTTATTTGGATATTACGCTTAGGTATTAAGATTTGAATATCAAATTTATAAAATATCACCTCTTAAAAATAATTATATAAATTAATTAAGTTAATTTCGAATTTCATTCATTCTTGATAATACTTAAATCTTTGTCTTCCTAATTTTTTCCCACAAAATATGTACTCATAAAATATGGGTTTTCAACATATTCTCTAAATAACACTATAATATAGTTGCTACTTATCACTGAAATCAAGGCCAGTTTGTAATATTCTTCTCAATTTCCTAAGCTTCAAGAATATAAAAGAACAAAATGAGCACCAACTTTTGTTTGTGAATCAGTGATGGAAAGATCCATGAAGCAGGCTTACATCAAACAAATTTTTCACTGATAAAATTGTGACCACAATTTGATTTTCTTTTTGTTGGCATTTGGAGTAAAATCATACAAGAAAAAAAAAGGGTTATGGCTAAATGTTTGTACTTTAATTGAAGGAAAATGTCTAAGGAAGCTGCATTGAAACTTCCTTTTGTCTCAAAGATTCAACAAATGAATCAATGAAAAGTTACCAATCAATGAAAGGTTACCAAAGTGATTTGGTTTTTTCTTTTTTTTCCCTTTTTTTTTTGTTGCAATCACATGACACTCACATTACATCATTTCTTTTCTTTATTTTTTTTTTCAATTTTGTCCCTAAAAAGATAAACAGAAAATATATTTTGATTCCTTGTCTTGAAATGACTACATAAAATAGATACAGTCTTTAAATATTAATATCCACCATACTAAATTAAGAAATATTTCAACTTATATATAAAAATTAACTAGGTTCAAATGGTTGTATAGAGCTCAATTTCTTATTTTTACTCAAAAAATGAATTGATATTAAAACAAGAATTTAGGGGAAACCTTTTATACCTCTTTAAAAGCTCAAAATAAATGTTAAAATACAAATTTAATAATAATTTAAAGTACTGAAAATGGGTTTAATTTAAAGTACTTAAAAATAAGTAAAATATTTAAAGTAATTTCTATATTCACAAATGACCAACAATGCATAATTTGAAAACAATTAACTAAAAAAATTGTGTTTCCCATAATTCCAATTATTTATTTATTCTATTTTATAATAAATTTATCATAAAATCGAATTTCAAACTTATTAAAACTCCATTTAAGAATCTAATTAAAAGACTACTACTATATCAAAAAGTGCATTTTATAACTAGATCTTAAAAAATAAACCGTTTAGACTAAAGCTTGGATTTATAATTCCCATTAATTATTAATTGCTGAATTTTTCTATATTTGAAATCATTTATTGGTATGATTAGGATAAAGTATTATGAACTAGGGTCCAAATTAAAACATCCCCACCAAACCAAAGTCCTAGTCATGCTGCCACGATGTACCACATTAGCAGAGGGATACAGGACATCCAAAAGGACAACAATGGGTACGAAATTGGCCTAAGCTGTACATATAACTGCTTTGAGATCTTATAATTTTTCCTAATTTTCCTTTTCACACTAAAAAAAAAAAAAAAAACCAAATTCTTTAGTTTCTAAAAATTGATTTGGGGCTCCACATTTTGGAATGAACAAACATGAGCAAAGGGATATTCTAGTTTGAGTCTTAAGCATTAGATTCACAAAGTATATACATACATAGATATAAAGAGAGGTGCTACATAAGGTCAAATTTTGTAATGTAAGACAATTTGACATGATATTATATATATATGATATTATCTATATATATATATAAATATATACTTTTTAATGCTTTCTAATTTGGTATGGTTTTTTTAATTAAAGTATTTAAAGATTGTAACTCTTATTATTTAAATAAAAATTTTAATATTTTATTAATAGATCATACGACTTAGTATGGCTTTAAGTTGGCTTAACTAGAATATATAGAAAAAGATTTTTGCAAATTTTAAATTGGAAGATTAAGAATTGCAAACATGTGATATAAAGTAGTTTTAAGCTAGCTAAAATCAACTATGATAAACAATAGTTTGTTTTTCCATTTATTTATATAGATATATATAGATAAATAGATAGATAGATGAGAGAGAGAATCTCCTCGTTGGAAGAAAATTTCGTATATATCTTCTTTCTTTTAGAAGGGCTAAAATCTATAAACAAATGAATAAACAATTTGAAAAAGAAAAAAAGAAATGGGTAAATCATAAGAAACAATTGTACTAAGAATTGAAGTTAAATGAAACAATATTACCCAAAAACACATGTGAAAACAATGTTTAAAACTTAAAACTGCACTAGATGATTTGAATGAGTGGATTTAACCCTTTATCAACCAAATATGACATTGAAAAATGGTATGGCTCAAGTGTAATTATGTAGTAAACTTTGTTTATTTTCGATAACAACCAAACACAAAAACAAAAGATATATATATATATATATATAAAGACCGTTCGAAACCTCATGCAACTTCCAGGAAGCAGGGTCTTCACAGGAAAGCTATGCATGCTACCCAATGAAAGGCGCAAGAAGCTCACTATTCCACCATAAAATTTATCTTATTATCATGTACTCTCAATTGTCTTCAATGGCCACTCACTCTTTCCTGGAAAAACCTGATTTTCCTCCCCCCTTGAAATCCCCTTTATATAATCCCATCCCTCCTCCACCTCTCCTATTCACTTATAGCTTAGTCCACAAGTTACAGCAAAAACAAAAGCCCTTCCCAGGTATCAATCTCTGCATTGCCCTGAAGGTATGGAACTTGACATTGCAGTTGAGTTCGAGGATTACTTTCCGTCAATGATGGAGAGATTGGGAGCTGAAGGGTTTATAGGGGAGCTGTGTAACGGGTTCCGGCTGCTGATGGATTGCGAAAGAGGGCTGATCACGTTCGAGAGCTTGAAGAGGAACAGCATTTTGTTGGGGTTGAATGACATGAGGGATGATGAGATTGTTTGCATGTTGAGTGAAGGGGATTTGGATGGAGATGGTGCTTTGAACCAGGTTGAGTTTTGTATTCTCATGTTTAGGTTGAGTCCTGGGCTATTGGATAATGGATCCAAACAATGGGTTGAAGGATATGATGTTCTATGAACATAAACCTTTCTTCTTCTTCATCTTTGTTGTTTTAATTAATTGTTTGTAAGCCTGAATTATTTAAGTTAATTTAGAGAATTGCAATTTGATGCAACTAAAGCATGTCTTGGAGAAGAAAGAAATAAAAAATAAAATTCAGATCTATATTTAAGATCTTTAATTCCACAAAATTTTTATTCTAACTTTTAATTTCAAACTTTTAGTGACAAAAAATTCAATCAAAAAAATTCAATTTTTACCTGAAGTCAAAACTTAAAATCAACTTCATAAATGTCTCTTCACTCTTTTTCTTCGTAAATTTTAATTTTCATTTTATCTGATGTTTTTATTTATTATTGGAAAATTGGAATTGAAAACATTATATATCTTCCATTATTGTAATTATAATAATGAAGATGAAATTGCAGGTTATGAGAACTAAGTAATTAAAACCCCATGTGGTGGTTTTGATTTGAAGGATCATGATCCACGATATCTGCTTTAATTCAAAATATTTTATTTTCTTAAACCACATATATATATATATATATATATGTAAATGAAAACTGCAAGGTTTAGGCAGGGATGGACCATCGTTCAAGCATGAGAGGACCTTGACCTTCCCAAAGTTTTCACAACTTTTAAGGCGCCGTCCCAAACTTTTATCAACTCATAGTGTGTGTGTGTATATATATATATATATATATATAAAGTAAACTTAAATTAGCTCCTTCAAAATTAAAATTGTTTGCATATATTAATATATTATTTGCATGTATATATGTGATACAATGAATTATATGAAAAAAAATTAAAATATAATATTAATTAATTCTTATAAAATTAAGGGTCAAGATCCCTTACTAGGTTTAAGAGTTAGAAAAAAAATCCATGACATTAATGACATATACAAAATCCATAACAATAAGAGACAATGTTTAATAGAAAATAAACTTATCTCATTTAATTTGAAAAACACTCCCTTATTCAACCAAGTTTTTAGCCTTTTTATTAGGGTACTAATGGCCAAATATGGATATCAAGGATTTGATCCGGTTAGATTAATGGTTGATTTCGAAAATAACATCGCAAACCCTTATGATAGACTCTTTTAGACAATAATGGAACTTCAATAAATGTGGAGTGGTATTTTTTAATCCAAATAGTTAAGAGATAAGATCATGTTTGATACATAAAATAATAAATAAGATGATAATTATCTTATATTATATTTAATTTATATTTAAATAAATGGATAAAATTGTAAAAAAGATTAATATCCTCTGAAAATAAGTTGATTTTATTCTTTCAAAGTAGAAAAGATTACTTTTAATCTATTGAATTGAATTTATATAATCTATTATATCCTCAAAAATTATATTAATAATTTAAATTATATAAATTTTGAGAAAAAATAATTTTATCTAATAAATAAATTATTTTATTTTAATTTTATATATATCAAACTAAAATAAGATGATATTATTTTATTTTATTTTATTTATAATATTATCTTATTTTATCATATTATAATCTTATATATCAAATATATCCTAATCATGTAATGACTATTAAAGTTAATAAGGATTTCATTAACTAAACTAATCCTTTACTATTTATCATGGAATAAGAATGGAATGGCATACCATTCCCTCAACCAAACATGGCCTTAATTCTTTGTAATGAAATTCAAAAACCCTACAAAAAGCAAAGAAGAACCAACAAACAATTGTGGGGAGAAAATTCTCATGGGGGGCTCACACAACATCACTCTTTTGATGTCACGCCTCTTTGCTTTTAAATGGCACATTCTACCCTCTAGCTTTGGGACAGTCTATATGCAAAGAACCCCTCTTTATCTCCATTCTCCTCCACACATGCCCTTCTTTATCTTCCCACATATTATTCTCTCACACTAGTGGCTCCCAATTCCCAACAACACTTCCCTTCATTTTAATTGATGCACGTTGGCATCTTCACGTGAAGTATATGCCACGTCATCAAACTCCCTCATTTTCACAATTTTAAATTAATAAATCTACTAAAATTTGATTTTTTTTAGGAAATAAAATAAATATATATTTTTGTTGACTAAAAAATATGGTGAGGGTTGCTCCATGGCCATGAAATTGAGCCCACACATCCATTCTTGCGCATACATTTGTATTGTCTAGCACGTAGTCCCATTATTAATAGGATATTGCAAAATATATATGTAGCATGCACCTTCTTTGTTATAAATAATATCATTTTTATTTTCAAATACTAGTAATTTTTTGTTTGTATTATCAAAACACACTGAAATTCATATATTTTTAGTTGATTATATGTATTAAAAATTTTGATAAATATTTTCTCTATTTTTTTTAGAATGTCTCAAAATTAAGTTTTTTTTAATATTTAATATTTAATATTTTTATTTTTATATTTAAATTTTTTTAATATTAAAAATCATAAACTTAATTGTATAAAAATTTTAAATTTTAATATTAAATATTTTAAAATTAAAAATTTTTTTCAAATTTTATGTAAATCAATAATATTCAAATAATTTGAGATAAAAAGAGTATAAAAAAATATAAGTCCTATATTATTAAAAGTATAGACAAATCAAAAAAATTAGATTTTGTTATGTTAATTATTTATTTATGTAATTAATAAATTATTAATAATTAAAAATTTTAATGTGCAAATTGCAATAAAATAAAATAAAAAGTTAGGCACTTTAGACAGGGATAGAAGGAGATAGGGTGATAAAAGCATGGATAAACGCAAGGTAGGTCCCACAATGCCACGTCAGAAGAGTGATTCAATATCGAACCTCAGGTGGGGATCACGTGGCTAATGACCACTGGCTTCGTCCACGTAGGACAGATTTGGAGAATCTGCCACGTCATCAATCCAATCTAGTTTGGAAAATATCTTCTATTAAAGAATAAATGTCCATCCACCATAATCCTACACGTGGTACTCAACTGACGGTTCCTAGCCACATACAAAAATCAATCCATAAACTTTTTTAAGGTTCATATAATAATCTTGAAGACGTTATATGATAATTTAAAATACCGTGATATAAAAAAATATTAAAAATAAAAATAATATAATTTATAATTTTAATAAAAATTATATATAAATTTAATAAATTAAAAAATATATATTTTATATTTTATATCAATACAAATTATAATATATAATAAAAATATTTAAATTATTATATTATATTTTAATTTTGATTTTAATTTCGTTATTATAATTTTTTTTTAAATTTTAAGAAAAATAAAATGACAAAACTGACCTTAAGGAATTTTTAATTCGAAAAAATTAGGGAGGTAGGGTGGTTTCATAATTTCATGTCATTTCATATAAACACTGCAAAGTGTTCTCACCGAGGAAAAAGAAAAGCAAAGAAAAATGAAGAAATGTGAACTATGTGGAGCGTTAGCTCGAATGCACTGTGAATCGGACCAAGCAAGCCTATGTTGGGACTGTGACGTGAAGGTTCATGGAGCCAACTTCCTTGTAGCAAAGCACACCCGAACCCTCCTCTGCCATGTCTGCCAAAACCCCACTCCCTGGCTCGCCTCCGGTCACAACCTCGCCCCTGCTGTCTCTGTTTGCGAGTCATGCATTGGCAACGGCAACAACAACAACAAAAACAACGATAATTGTGAGGTGATTTCGCAGCAGGATGAGCCATCGGAGGCAGATTATGAAGATGATGATGATGAGGAAGAGGAGGACGACGACGACGAAGAAGAAGAAGAAGAAGAAGATGAGGAGGATGACGAAAATCAGGTGGTTCCATGGTCTGGGGATTCTTCTTCTTTTTCTATGTCGAAGCCGGTGGCTACCTTGGATTCTTTGAGTAGTGGTGGTCGTGGTGGTGGTGACGGCGGAGGTGGCGGCGGTTTTGGATTGAAGAGGATGAAAGAGAATCTTAGTTTTGACTCTTATGTATGTTGATTTCTTTTTCTTTGATCTGTTTGGAATCCCCTGCTATGGAAAAACTGATTATTTTTCATGAATTGCTATTTTTTTTTCTCAATTTTCTGATTACTCAACTACAAATGTTTTAAATTTCTTCAATTTTAGAATCTGGATTATGATTATGAATCGAAATTCTTTACTTCTTAATCAAAAGAATTAGAGATTTCTTCTGAATCTATGTTTGCAAAAAGAATCCCCTGCTCTTATGAATTAACAGAGGCTTGTTGAATATTTCGTTTTATTTTTCATTAATTTCTGATGATCTAGACAAAACTATCCACAATTTATGCAATTTGGAATCTTGGTTTTTCATTTTATGAGTAAAAAATTTAAAATTTCTTTTGATTTAGATTTTTGGTCATGTATTTTCTATGGAACCAAACAAGGTTTTTATAAGAGTCAAATTTCGCTTTGTTTATTAATGCAGGATGAGATTGGGTGCTCCTCATCTCATGTGGGCTCAGGAGGATCATCCAACGGAGAAGCAACATCTATGGGCACATCAAGATTATTGAAGCCACCAATATTATGTGAAGTCAATCAATCAGTTAGAAATCATGATCACGATGAAACAGAGTCAAGAACAACGGCTATCATACCTCTTTAAAAGGACTTCAAAAGCACATGATCACCAATGATGATGATGCATCGGCTGCAATCATTGGAATCTGCAGGTTGAGCAGAGATCAGAGCCGTTAGATTTCACACACCACTAACTCTCTTACTCAATACTAACATACACAATACAATCCCTTTGAGGTAGTTTGTTTTTGGGAAAAATTTCAATTTTCTTGACATAAAAATCACTATTGTCTTTGTTTTTTCTTGGTTTGGTACCTTTCTCTTCATTGTGGAAATTGTTGGAATTTCTCATGATTATATCTTTAATGTTGTTATTTTTCTTACATTTTTTTAGTAATACTATGTTTTTCTTTTTTTTTTTTTTTGAAGAAAAAGTTGATACTATGTTTAACAATTCTTGCACAATTGATGTCCAAATACAAGGCATAAAGTCCATTGATGTTAACAAAACAGGAAAAAAAAAAAAAGAAAATTGGGTGATGAATTTTTATGTTACACACACATATATATATATATGTAAAATTCAAAAATTATTATAAATTTTATACATGGTTAGTAAATTAAAAAAATATTTTATTAATAAATAAATATTAATTTTTAAAATAAATAATAAAAATTAATATTTTTATAAAAAAAAATTATTAATAAAATGATGATTTATTTTATTAATAAGATAATATTATTTTATTTGTTAATAATATATAAAATTTATATATTGATAGTGTATTAAATATAAATTTAATTATTATATTATTTTATGATTTTTTCAAATAAATAGAAATTTGATCATCACTGTTAACTAGCATATCTGCTTTTTTTTTTTTTTTCAACTTTGAATTAAGTATGAAGATTATAATTTTGATCTCCAATACTTTTCAAACAAATAGTCTTTAACTAATTCATTAGAAATTATGAAATATGAATTTTACATTTAAATATATTATTAAAATATTTAAAATTATAGATAAAAAGTAATTGTCAGTTAGCATTTATCCACAAATATGAACTATGTGTTTAATTAAAATTAAACAGTTGTGAATAAAAAAGAATTTTAGTACATTTTTTTTATCTATGTGTATTGTAATTGTGAAATGCAAAAAAAAATAAAATAAAATTGAGTTTCTTATTAGAATACGTAATGTTTTTTGTTAGGTGCATAACCTAACAACAGAAAATTAAAACAAAAGAAAATGATGTGAGATTTGAAAAGAATAAATTTTTAGTATGAAACTTGTGGCTAGCTGGAGCAAGGTGTGAAGGGGCTTTGAGTATTAGCTAAGAAGTAGGATGAAAAATGTATGGTGGATAGAAAACAAAACCCCACTCAAAGCTACATATTAAACATGTAATAATTTTTTTATATAAAAAAATTTAGGGGAAATTAAATTATCTCATTTTAGGAATGCTGCAGACATAGTAATAATTTATATTATATTTTTAAATATTATCAAGATAAATTATTAATAACGAAAATTGAATATTTTTAAAATTTTTAATTTATGTTTGAATTTTTTTATTTTAAATACGTATTCAATTAAAAAATATTTTACGTGTATAAATTTTATTAAATTTGCAATCTTTAAGTGCAAGTTATAATAATATGTCTATTGATCTAAACATTAGTTGGTAATAAGAATCAAATCTAAATCTAAATTGAAATTTTAAATAAAAATATTTAATTCTTTTAAACTCAATCAATCTCATTTACTAAATGTATAATAATTTAAAGTCATATTTAGTATATAAGATGATAGTTAAGATAAAAAAATAATCATTTTATATTATATTTGGTTTATATCTAAAAAAAGAGATAAAATTACAAAAAAAATTAATCATTATATTTATATAAAATTATTCAATTCTCTCAAAATAAAAAAAAATTGCTTTGAGGTTTGCAATTAGTACCTTAACTTTTTTTCAATACACCCTACTATTATTAACATCTAATTTTTTATTCAACACACCTCAAATCAAAAATATAAATTTATTAAAAACCCAAACGCCTCATGTCCTCATAGCCCATCTTCTCTATCTCTTCTAATAAAAAACACATAAAATTAATTGAAGGATAGGATATTAATCATTCAATCATATTTTATTATACATTTAAATAAAAGAATTACATTATTGAAAGAGTTAAATATCTTATGCCAATGAGATGACTCTATCTTCTAAAAAAGTAAGAAATTATTTTTAATTTATGGGATCAAACTTACATGTTTTATTATATTCTTAAAAATTATGTTAATAATTTAAATTGTATAAATTTTAAGAAAAGATAATTTTTACTAATAAATAAAATATTATATCTTAATTCTTACACACATCAAACACAAAGATAAGATGATAATATTTAATCTAATCGTATTCATAATATTATCTTATCTTATCTTATCTTATCATAATTTTGTATACTAGACATGATCTAAAAACCTTAAACAATTAAGCCTCAAATTAAGTCCCAATCATCTATTTGTCGTTAAATAACTTAGAATTAGAGGTGAATAATTTGTTCTTTTTACTTTTTTGTTTGATTTTGTATTTAATTTCGTAACATTTATGATTTTAAGTTTTAGGATGTGATTTGAATAATTTGAAAATTAATTTTAAAAAATTATTAAAAATTTTCAAAAAAAGATATGTGGAATCGTTTAAGAACTTTTGAAAATTTATTTCCAAAATCCTTTATAGGTTTTGGGACATTTATTTTTTGAAACTTTTAAGAATTTTTTGAAATGGATTTTTGAAATTTCTTAATGGTTTCTAAACATCCATTTTCGAAAGTCTTTAAAAGCTTTCAAAATTTGATTTTTGGTATATTGAAAATGTTTGTGGAAACCATTGCTCCTAGCACAATTGTCACGGTTCACAAGAAGTGAGTTTTGACCCATAGCACATGACTTGACACTGTAAAGAATATTGACTCTAATAATATCATTAATAGACTGATAAATTTAGTAGTAGAAGCCTTTAAAAAGTTTGAAAGATTAGAAATCTTTATTATTGGATTTAAATAGCCTATATCTTGAAAAAATTATTAAAGACCCGTTTAGAGATCCTAGTAAGAGATATTTGATATTCTCATGCCAGACATAGATGAAAAAATCTACTTTATCGTATCTAATGTAATAAAGAAATTGAAGTAAAAAATTACTTTCAAAAATGAATTTTCATATAATTGTATAACTTTTTGAAAATGCATTTTTAGTAAATTAAAGAAATTTTTGGAAATGAATTTTTGATAATTTTTCTTCAATTCTAGAATTTAACTTTTGGTGAATAACTATTTTTTTAAAAATAAATTTTCATAAGAAAAGAGTGTGAAAAACAAAAAGGTAATTGAATAATGGATATTTAAGTAATTTTATTAATGATTAATTTTGTAATAAAAATTTTAAGGTGTATTGAGTAGTTTTTTGGGATTCAAATAGAAGTATTCATTTTTAATTCATAAGATAAAATTTATATATTTTATAATATTTTTAAAAATTATATTAATAATTTAAATAATATAAATTTTTTAAAAAATAATTTTAATTAATAAATAAATTATTTTATTTTAATTTTTACATATATTAAAAATAAAATAAAATAAAATAATTTATTTATAATAATAATTTATTTTATTCTATCGTAACTTTATATACCAAAGTTATAAAGTTATAACTTTATTATTTTATTTATAACTTTATATACTAAACACGTCTTAAAAACATAAAAAGAAATCAAACTACTAGTGGATTAGCTTGAGTGACGTGGATATGGCATAAGGTTTGGGCGCATGAAATTTTTGGAAAGATATTTTTAAATCTCTTTTAATCCAATAATTTTTTTTTCTAATTATTTTGGTAGAAACTAGAAGGTGACTTTTTTGTCCTCTTGTGTCAGTTTTTCATTTATCTAAAGTATCATTGTCATAATTTGTGATTCCGCACATCACATCATGTTGAACCTAAAAAAGCAAAAGGTTTTGATTTAAAAATGAAATTTCGATTTTCCCTGACTGGGACGCTTTGTAACCCTTTATCTAATGCTAAAGGTAAGTATCTCTCGAGTAGGCTTGGTTATTTAAAATATAATATAATAATATAATATAAAAATAATATAAATAAAAAATATAAAAATAATATAATTTAAAATTAAAAAAATTATAAATAAATATAATAAAAAATTATATTTTATATTTTTATATCGATATAAATTATAATAAATAATTTTCATATAAAATATAATATAAATAATGATACAAATTATTATTAAGTCTGTTCTTAAACTTTCTTCTTACTTATTTGTCTCCTTGGTTAAAGGTTCACTATGATCAAGTTTTTTTTTTTTTTTTTAAATAATAATTCAGTTGGAAAACCCTAAACCCTAAAAGGAATTGAATTGAAATTTGTTGTTTATTCTTTAGTTTTTTTTCTTTCTACATGTGAAAATTTATTACAGATTGAGTTACTAAAAATAATGTTTTCTCATTTTATATATCTCATGAAAAGCAAATAATTATATAGAATATTAAACTTTTAATTTTAATGATCATAATTTATTAACAAAATACTAAAATTTTAATTTTGATAATCAAAATTTAAAAATAAAATAAAATTTTTTTAGCTTTAATAATTATAGTTTAAATTCGAACAATTTTAAAAACAAAAAATTATAAAAAAAATCACCAATACTTTCCACCCTGCTCAGCCGGTCAACTTGAGTATTTTTAGTTTAGGTTTCCCAACAGACAAAACTTGATTAAAAAGCTCATCAAAGACCATGAAATCACTCTTTAAAGGTTTGTATGGTATGAAAGTTCCAAAAAACCAACTAATCAGGTAAAATTCCAAGTGGTTTCCTTCCTTGATTGAGGGAATTAAAGGATTTATTTCCCCCTTCTCTCAAGGAATTTTCAAATGATTTTCCACTTTGATTGAAGGAATTTGAGGTTGACATGTGAACTTAGCTTTTAGAACAACATCAATTTGCATATCCAGTTGCATGTGTTTTCCAACAATACCACCATTACTTGAGAAGAACAACAAAGCTAACATCCATGTTTGTGATATGCTTCTGCAGTGAAATATGTCTAGATTTCTACATCAAAAATACCCTTGAATTCAAGGTGAAGCTCATGGAATATTTTTCATATATTTCTGCTCAGCACTATGGCATCAAAGCAAATCAGAACAGCTCATAAAACTGAAATCAAATGTTGACACCGGCATTATCCTTATATTATATCATCACAGTGCAGTAAAACATGATCTCCTCGAGTGCAATAAAAGACAATCAAGAACCTCATCAATCATACAATATCATCGTCGATAAGAGTTATATGAAGAAGAGATGAAAGTGGAAAGAGAAAATCCTAGGATCCATTTTAACTAAGTGCCATTAACTGCCAAACATTTTGATGAAATCTCTTTAAGCCGGCTAATCCGAGTGACTCCGAGACATCTATGAACAGAAGAAAAGCGAGTTGAAAAAAATTGGATTACAAACAGGTTTGCACAAAAGAATGACAAATATAACTTATTAATGAAGATAGTTGCGATACCAAAATGCAAACCTGCTACTGATAGGATAAAGCTGCAATTACCGCATTTGCTAAGCATCTGCCATGAAAGAAGCATCGAACACTAATGTCAATTTACAAGAATTGTGGAAACTCAATAATTCAGCAACTCACACAAATTTCATACATGAAACAAAGTCTATGAAAGAAACTCAGAAAGCATTGCAATAGCCACAAGCTATAGCCTAAATAAATGCCTACTGACATTTGGATTAATTGGCATGTCATTGGAGCTGGCAATTAAAGGTTGTGGGTTCAAAGGAACTTACATGCTTGACAGCTTTAGCCATATAAGTACTAGGGAAGGAAATTCAAGGGTCAATTAAGAATTCAAAAAATAACAATAATAATAATAAAGACACAGAGAGGAGATGGCTGCGATCAATTGATGTATAAACAACTTCCTCTAAAATGCAAGAGCCTTCTAATCTAGGCATATCTTTTAGCATCTAACATCTAATACTTATCTTTTCTGCCCCAATTGACTTCCCAAATCAGATTAATCCAAATATTTCCACAGCTTACCAACTCTAGCACATCAAAACATCCTAAAGGTATGTTGTGAAGCAACAACATATACGAAAACAGAAGCATGTTCTAACAAACACTTAATTGGCACATTCTCTCACTGAAAGTTTCCCAGAACATTGGCGAGCACACTGAAGCGGTTTATCTCCCCATATTCTCCCAGTTAAAGTAACTATGATTTAAGAAACTATTTGCATTCCCATACAAACAGCATCTGATGCCCTTTTACAACCAATCATCCAATTTCCCAGCTGTTAGAAATACTTCAACTCCTTCAACCATCAACTTGCTTTGTCTTAAGTGGACAAAACAACTTGTCAAAACATCTTTCTAATACAATTTGATGATTTCCCATGATGGAAACATCAAGTACTGAAACCTCCATGAGCAGGCCAAACTTGCTTGTTTATACAGTACCTAGAAACCGTGCTTCAAATATTCATACTTGCATTTGCACAGGCTTAACAGGTTAACAAACAGTAGCAATTGCTATCCACAAGTCTTTATCACATTTATGCAATGATCTCCAATCATACTACCAATCTAGGAGCAACCTCTATTATAACTTCTACATCAAGCACACAATACTGCTGCTATATGTCATCCTCCCCATTGAATCATCATCTCCATTGTAGATCACTTTTCCAGATTTCAATTAGCTCCCAAAATAAACACTGTAAAAATACCTATTGCATATATCTATTCTATTTATGCACGACTCACTTGTTATTATACCAAGCTAGAAGTGACATGTCTGATCAGTTTATATACTAAGCACACCACACTTGACATGCTGTCCTTATTAAAAAATTCGTTATATTGTCCCTCACCCATCTACTTTTCAATTAATTCCCAATCTACAAGAAATTTCAAGGGGACAAAGCTTACCTTATCCACTCAACAAATCCTCCGATTACTAAAAATCTAAGACTACGAAGTAGATTAAAAAATATATAAGCTACAAGAACAAGAAACTAAACCTTTTGAATCACTTAAAACCAAAATAAACTAAACCTTCCCAATAAGTAAACATCTACAAAAAGATCATATTATGCCAAAATTGATACCAAAAAAAAACCAATTAGTAATTAATACCAAGAAAAGCCCAACCTTCACCCACTTAAATATTGTATCGGCCATAACAACAACAAAATAAGCCATTTCCTTCTATGTGTGGTAAGCGACCTAGATCACATTATCCTGCTGTGTCCTAATCATCATCTAACACAATAAAAACACATAACTGAGAAAAAAAAAGCTAAAATCATCTGAATTAAACGTCTAAACACCGGCAAGAGGCCAAATTTTCAGTCATTCAAAACCAAAAAAGCTAGATTAGTATATGGATAGGCTATATGGATCATATAATGCAGCTTTGCTAATATATCCTAATTATCAGTTCATGCTATAGACACACAAGCAATAAAAAAACCTGCTCAATCCATTCAAATTAAGCATTGAAACAAGTACAAAAATCCCAAGTTTCCAATCAAACTCAATCAACCAAAAATAAAAGTCCAAAAAGGATTAACCTTTGCCACCTTCCTCTTCCACCTCAACCGCCTTCACCGTCACCAAGGGCTCACCATTCCCGCCATCTTTCTCATCAGGATACCTAACAACAACAACAGGACAAACACAGTGATGCACACAATAATCACTAACACTTCCCAACCTCCCATCATTCCCTCTTTTCTCAGCTCCAAACCCTCTACTCCCCATTATAACAGCACTCAACCCTAACCTCTCCACCTCAAGACACAATCTTTCCCTCATATCATGATCTTTCACTATGTGAATCTTAAAGGGAATCGCAGCTTCCCTCAAGGGTTTGGCCAAATCCGCCACCTTTGAAGCCGTGAAGGCATCGAAATCGTCTTCCAGTTGCTTCTGGGACGGTGGCGTTTCTGGGGTTTGTGGGGTGTGGGGGAGAGGGCCCCAATCGGCCCCGAAGAGTACGGAGGTGGGTGACACGTGGAGGAGGATGACAGCATCGCCGGGTCGAAGGTAGTTTTGGACGGCCCAACGAACGGCGAAGGCGGACTCATCGGATAGGTCGACCGCCACGCCGATCTTACGGCGTGCTCCGGCGGTGGGGGTGGGGCTGGCGGCGGAGGACGGGTGGTGAGGGGAGGATGGGTGGTGGATCTTGATTGTTGGGAGTTGAGGGTGGTCACTGTTATCAGGAGGATTCATTTTCTTCCCTTGTTTTTTCCTTCAAGAAAATGAGAGAGCTTTGAGTTTATGAGGGTTCTAAAGTTTGTTTTAGATAATCGGTATTGAATGTTGGTGACGTAATGGGGAATAAGGGGCACAAGTTGAGTTTGTACAGACTAGACTAGAGATGTAAAAAGGAGACTTAGACAGTGTGTTTGATACGGATGATAAAGTTATGGTAATTACGTCATTTGATTCAGTAACCATTTAAAAAATTTATATAATGATTAGATATTTAATTTCCATTGAATTTTATTTTAAAATTTTAGTTATTTATTTTTTATAAATTATAAATTAATATTTTAAATTTTTTTTAGCATCATAATTATTATTTTAATATTAAAATTAAATTATTATAATATATCTTGATTATCACGTGCATAGCATGCCGCCTAAAACTAGCATATATACATTTTAGGCTATTAAATGTAAAATTTAATAATTAAAATTAAGAGTTCAATTAAAATGATTATAAAAAAAAAAGGTTCAATTTCTAAGAACTAGCAAAAATCTTACAAGATACAGAGAGACATGGGAGATATTCAATTCATATCCACTAGCATTGTTCAAGCTGCCAACCAGAGAAAAAAGTTGAAAGAATTAAGTTAGCACAATGGGATCTCATGTTCCTTACCATGGACTATGCCCCGAAGGGACTTCTCTACTACAAGCCACAACTTGAACAAGATTAAAAGTTAGGTGAAACCTTTATCCACCACTTGCAAACCCCCCTTTTATCAACTCTAGACTACTTTTTCCCTCTTGTCGGCCGCCTCGCAATCATTGAAGTTGATGATGAAACCTCTTCGTTTTTCGTTGACTGCAGCAATGCTGGTGTCTTGTTTGTTCATGCAGCAGCTAATGAGATAAGTATCTCTGATATCATTGGTCCCAAGGTTGTTCCTTCCTTTGTCCACTCATTTTTTCAGTTGAATGAAGTTAAAAATTATGGGGGGTACTTCCAATCCTTTACTTGCTGTATAAGTGACTGAGCTTTCAGATGGCATCTTCATTAGCTACACTTACAATCATGTTGTGGTTGATGGCATATCATTTGTTCTTTTCTTCAATTCTTGGGCAAAAGTTTCTCAAGGTTCCATTGAATTGTTCAAGCCCCCAGCTCTTCGACGTTGGTTTCCAAATGGTGTTGAGGCTTCAGTTAGTATTCCGAACTCCTGTCTCACACAAATCCATGAATTCATTCCTCCACCATTGCAAGTAAGATTTTTTTCGTTTCCCAAACGAAAATATAGCAAATCTCAAAGCAAAGACCAATGCTGAACTTCACATAGACAAAATCTCCTCTCCAAGCATTATTGTCTCAAATCTTGCGAGCTGTTATTTGCATCAGAAATCTTGATCCGGAAGAAGAGACTAATTTCTTCGTAGCAGTTGGTGCAAAATCAAGATTGTACCAGCTGTCTGAACAATATACCGAAAATGCGATGCAAGGTGGACTTATAATCATAAAAATCAAAGAGCTACAAGAACATGGGCTAGGCAATGTAGCATGACAAATGAACAAGTTTATTGCTTCACAGTCTGAGGAAAAGATGACGAATTTCTCGAAATTGTGGAAGGAAAGTCCTATTCTATGACAGTAAGCCTAACAAGTATATAAGCAATCTTGTGGTTTTGGGTGGTTCACCTCGGTTTGATTATTATAGTATTGATTTTGGATGGAAATGGTCAATTGCAATTTGAAATGGGGGTGGGAACAAGCATGATGGGAAGATAACAGTGTATGGTGGAGCTGAAGAAGGGAGTATGGACATTGAAGCTTGCTTTTTACCTGAAACATTGCAGGCCTTGGTAAATGATGAAGAGTTCATGGATTCTATCACAATCTATGTCACAATCTAATCTTAATCCAATTTCTACGTTGCTCAATGGGTGAAATAATTGCCATCAATAAGAAGTTTCAATAAGGTTTACTAAACTTTAATAGCCGTTGATGAAACTTGGTTCAACCGTAGTAAGCTGCCATAAGAGAGATAAGAACAAAAACTTGAAGTTTAGTTTAGTTTGTTTAATTAATTAATTATTCTTAAGAGATGATATTCAATAAATCAAAATTTTAAATTTTAATATATGCAATTTCATCTTCTATTTCTAAGTTAAGATCTTTTTTGTAAAAAAATTAAAAAATAGATGGATCGAACTTGAATAAAAATCTTAGACCTAATTGGTTTATATTTAAATGATATTTTAATTTTTATTGTTGTTTTTATTAATTTATACATTTCTTCTACTTTATCTCATATTTTCTTTATTAAGAGGCAACACAATTTATAATTTGTTTGCCTCCTTGATTTTTGGGAAATGAAATTTCTATATAGTCCTCGGAAAAAAAACATTTACCTATGATCTTATTTTTGAAAATACCAAATCAAAATGCAAGATTTAAATCTTCTTTCCCTAAATTAAACAAAAAAAAAGCATTTTACTTCATTGAAACATTTTTTAAAGCAAAAATAAAATGATTATGCTCCAAACAACATCAAAAGATTTTAAAATCTCAGATTCCTTACCTTTTTATGGAGTTTGTCCCAACTATTTTATTTCACTTAATAATTATTATCTTTCAAGCTGAAGAAAAAAAATACATAGATATAATGCAAATTAGTTTTTATAAGAAATTATAGAAAATAGTGCAATCCTCTTATCTTATTGAATAGCATGCAAATAAATGAAACTCTTATCCTAAAATTCCTACCATGTTTACTACTTTACACTGCACTGACTATCATTGCGAATATTAGGAGGCAGTGTTATCTTTATTGAAGATTCATCCCTTTGATGGCAGAACCATTATGGGATTTCACTTCCAGGTAAGAATAATTGTCTTGCATTTGCAAATACCTGTAAAAGAAAAAAATCTCCTGTTGTTTGACAACTAACACAATAAATTCTAGAAAGTGAGAATCAGAGAGAAAGCGCGATACCAACTTTATGGTGTTTTTTAGCATTGTTAATGTATTGTTTTTCTCAGCCAATATGTAGCAGTTAGAACAGCGAAAACATCCCCAATCTATTGAATTGCATACTGTTTTTGGATCTGCAACTACTTCCAATGAAGCACAACCATCTATGCACACACTTTTTATACTTGTCAGGAGCTCAGGCAATGATTTAAGCTCCTTGCAATCTGACAAATTAAGAAAATGAAACTTGGAAAGTCGATCAAAAGTTGCAGGTAGGTAGATGAAATTGTTACCACTAAGATCAAGATTTTTCAAAGAAGATAAGCTGCAAATATCACTAGGAATAGCTCCTTCCCAAAGATTGCAGTCACATAGATTCAGCTCCATTAAAGAACTCAAACCTGACAAAGGAAGTAACATCAGAGCCATGGAATCCGAACTTCTGCTGTGCAATACATTGAAAATAGAAGGCAAATTCAGTCGTAGTTTTGATGGTGGTCCCTTGCATCCATTGAAAGATAGAGCTTTCAGATTTTTAAATTTAAAAATGAAGGATGGAGGTTTTCTTATGGCAATTTTAGTTAAAAATCAAGCTCCTCCAAAAATTCTACATGCTGCAAATTCTCTGGTAAACTTTCAACTTTAGAACAACCTTAAAGATTAAGAGTTTTAAGACTTTTCAACCCATTTATACTGCTTGGGAGACTCACAAGGTTACTGCAATCTTTCAGATTTAACAAAATAGGATTGCTGAGATGTCCAATTGAAGAGGCAAGTTCTTTAATGCCTGTTCCATCTAAACTCCAGCAAACATTCCATTTCAAGAAACCTTTTAGGATTTGAGCAACCTGAAAGAATTAATATTTCAAGAGATTCGATTCCAATTTTGGTTGGAAGAATCTCTTAAATTCAAAAGTTTAAGCCTCCTTAGAACTCCGACAGACGGATGAACATTTACTACTCTGGTACAACCTTCCAAAATCAAACTTTCAAGATTAGGGGCCATTGTGAAGTTTGGTGTCTTGATCAGGTTTTGGGAGCCTTTGAGGTTGACCAATTTCAACTTATATAAAGGCTGTTGAAAACAATAATAAATTAGAAAAAAAAAGATAGATTATAGGAAACTTATTTCTTCCTATTGTATTCAAATTATTGATAATTCATCACAAAATAAACTAAAAAGGCAAACATCAAATGAAGTAATTCTCACTCCGTTTCCCTTTCATAGTTGTTCAATGTGGCTATAAGACAGGAAAAGTGCAACAAGGTTGTCTGGTAGGAAGCTTGATGGAAAGGATCTGAAAGGATATCCTCTTCAACCTAAAAGCCGTAACTCATTTGAAAGATATTTAAGATCTTGAGAATTTGGGAGATAGAAGACTTTGAGCAATCTTAATTTTTTTATCTTCAAGAAGGCATCATTGTTCAAAGTGAACGTCTTATTCTATTCCCTGACAACCAAGGGCAAAACAAAAATGAGCTTCAAAATATTGAAGCTTCCAACACCGACAAAAGGCAAGAATCGACATTCACACGTATCTATAATTTTTTTTCTTCTTTTTGAAACACAACTTTTTTAGTTAATACAATCAATTTTTCTTATTGCAAGAAAATAGAAGATTAATGGCAGTTTTGTAGAGGTAATTTACTTAAAAATGCCACTAGCTTTCGTATTTTTATAAAATTTAAGATGTTTTTTTATCAAAACACTATTAAATATTTAAATAGTAATGTTTGTACTTATAAACGTCACTAAAGACAAAAATTAGAGGTGTTTATCGATTAAAACGCTTTAAATAATCCTTTCTAAAAAATTAGAGCGATTATTGAAGGCGTTTTTTTGCAAAAAACACCTTCAATAAATCTCCTTGTCAATAAAATATATCAAAAATAAAGTAGCATTGTTGGTTATAGCATATGGCCATTAATCATAAGGTCGTAGGTTTGATTTTTTCTTTCAACATTTTTTGGATTTTTTGAGGGATTATTGAAGGCGTTGCTGGCCTAACCGACAATGCTACTCCATTTTTGGCAAATTTATTGATAAAAAGATTTACAATTCTTTACAATTTTTTAGGAAAATTATTGAAGGGGTTTATGGTAGAAAAAGCCTTCAATAATCGCCTCTATTTTTTATAAGTAGATTATTTAAGGTATTTTTTTTACATGAAATGCCTTTAATAATCCCTTATGAAAAAGTATTTGGGACTATTGAAGGTATTTTTTTATAGAAAACACATTTAATAATCCCTTATAAAAAATTGAAGAAGATTATTGAAGGCGTTTTTGGTCAAAAACGCTTTTAATAATCTCCTCATAAAAAATTAAGGGAATTATTGAAAGCGTTTTTTGCTTGAAACGTCTTTAATAATCCTCTCATAAAAAATAGAAGGGATCATTAAAAGCGTTTTTCGCAGAAATACCTTGAATAATCCTAAAAAAATAATTGGAAAGGATTATTGGAGGCATTTTTAGCCAAAAATGACTTCAATAATCACACTTTTCCGTTACTAAATTTTTCTTAAATTTCAAGCCCACAAGACTCTCTTTTTGCTTTTCTTTCCCCTACTCATTTCTGTTCATTTTAGGTCGCTTTCTTCTCATTTTTTGCCTAAGTTTTAGTCATTTTGTGACCAATTTTCATCTTTTTTCCTTTCATTTTTACAAATTTCAAGTTAACTTTCTTGCAATTTGGATTAAATCCCTAAATTTCTTATTTGTTAGGTCAAATTACTAAATTTTTTGTCTGATTAATTACGTTTCTATCACCATTCAAGCTCTATTGGTAAGCTCTATTTCAACATTGATAATTTTTAGTATTTATTCATTCTTTTTCTTTTTTCCTAAAAATTTTTGTCTGATTTTTGCATTTCTGCTGCTGTTCAAACTCTTTTGGAAAGCTCCATTTCAACATTGACAATTTTTAGTGTTTAGCCGTTCTTTTTCTTTTTTTATCAATTTATTTCATTATTGCAGTTTTGAGTTTAGTTTTGTTTGGTTGGTGAGAAAAATTCAAGATAAAATAGAAAGTGAAAGAAATAAAGTTTTTCTCTGAAAAACTCGAAATTGAACGTTGAATTTAGTTACAAATATGAATGAAATTTTAGGTTTAGTTTTTTTTTTCAACAAACTATTTTTTAAATTATTAAAAATTGTTACTTGTTAACATGGATTTGTTGATTCATTCAAGATATCCTTAGGAAAACATTTTAAAATAATCTATTATGTTTTTTTTTTATCTCATCTTAGCATTTGTTTTGTTTATTTTTTCAGATCATGATGTTTGATGAAACAACTTAATCTTGCTTAAAAGGGATTCGTTGTGCATGAAAACCATTAACAACAAAAGATGGAAGTGACCAAGGTGGGAAAAATCTTTCTTCAAATGATAGTGTTTCAAATCTATGCAGTCATTAATTTCATATATGTTAAATTTTTGGTTAATGTACTAAAATAATTTGAATGTTATTGTATGTATTATACTTTGTGTTCCATCCATATTGGAGCAAATTATGTATTTATAATATTCAATTTATGAATTTAAGTTCATTTTTGTTTCTTTTAATATTTTTATTTAATGCTAATAATCAATATTAAAAGAAAATTTTTAAAAATAAATTTCTTAATTTAGTAACATTTGTACCTAATAATTCCTTTAAATGCCAAAATGTAGCGACGCTTTCTACTATAAATACCACTAAATTTAATAGTGTTTTATATTATAAATGCCTCTAAATTTAGTGATGTTTTGTGATAAAAACGCCACTAAGTTAGTAGCATTTTTTTAAAAACGCCGCTATTTTTCCTGACATAGGAATAAGCGATACTCTTAGTGCCGTTTTTGACAAACAATTCTAATCCTTTAGTGGAATTTATAAACATTCCTAAATGTGAAAACAAAATGCCATTAAAAACTTAATCCCTTGTAATGCCTATCAC